ACTAAAACATCGGTAGAATTTGCTCGACTGCCAAGGACATCTAGACGAACTTTACATTCCATTTGTATTCTCTCTACCATCTTACAACTAGATAGTGGCAGATAAAAGCGTTCCAATCGCGTACCTGTTGCGATGATAAATAAGCTCACGTTTTATTTCATTAATGGCTGAATTTACAGATGGCATAAAATAGGATATCTGTAGATGGTAGTTCCATCGGAAAGGTCAGAGCTCGTGTGTTGCCGAGGTGCTGCCTTCGAGGGGTGTGGCAAACCTGTTTTCGAAGTGAAAATGAAGTGTGGCCGTACAGCAGCAAGACTGATTTCTTGTACGTTTAGTAAACTGTCCCGCACGTGGCACCGTCTCTGAGCGCCTTCGACATGTGGGTTCCTGATTTACAGATGAGTCTCCTTACTTCTTTTTCTGATTTTAATTTTATTGATTTTTCTTCTTATTATTTCCTTCCTTCTACTTGTTTTGGGTTTAGTTTGCTCTTTTTTCCCCAGCTGCTTCATGTGAGAATTTAGACAGCCGATTTGAGAATTTACTAATGAGAGCATTTCGTGCCAAAAATTTCACTCGGTGCAGCTTTAACTGTGTCCTGCAGACGTTGATGTGTTGCATTTTTATTTTCACTCAGTTTAATGTATTTTTCCCTTGGATTTTCTTTGACCCATGGATTATTTAGAAGTGTGGTGTTAAACTTCTGATTATTTGGAGATTTTCTTGTTACATTTGCGTTATTAAGTTTTAGTTTGACCCCATCGTGATTGGAGAAAGTACTCTGAATGGCTTTGGTCCTTTTCATTTTGCTAAGGTTTGCTTTCTGGCCCAGCATATGGTCCGCCTTAGTTCACGTTCCGTGGGCACTTGAAGAGAGTGTTCTCTGCTCTTGTTGGACGGAGTGTTCTAAACACTGATTAGAACTGTTGACTGATGGTACTTTTGAATTCTTCTCTAGTTCTGTTGATTTTCTCTTTCTTTGTCTGGTTGTTAAGAAACGGGTGTCGAAGTCTCCAGCGCCACTTCCGTCCCGCACGATGGCACCACCTCTGAGCGTGTTGCAGATGTGTCTGTTTTTCCTTCCAGTTCTAGCGGTTTATGCTTCACCGTTCGCGGCTCTGTTATTTGGTGCATATGTAGCAAGGGTTGCTGTGTCTTCTTGATGGATGGGCCCTTTTATCATTATATTATGACTCTCTCCGTTCCTGGTAATTTTGTTTGCTCCGAAGACTAATTTATCTGCTACTTACCTTTAATTAATGATGTGCTTTTTTTCCATTCTTTTACTCTCAACCGCCTACAGTATTCTATTTGAGGTGAGTGTTTTTTTATAAACAGCATATGGTCGAGTCGTGCATTTTTAATCCATTCAATCCATGTCTATCTTCACTGGTATATTAGGCCCATTTACATTTAATGTAATTATTGACATGTTAAAGATTAAATTTCCCATTTTATTTTTTGTTTTCTATTTGTTCTATTTTTTTCTATTTTTTTTCCCCCTGCATTCTTTCGGTTTACTTTAACAGTTTTTAGCAATCCATTTTGATTTATTTAGTGTTTTTGAATGTCTCTCTTCGTAGACTTTTTAGTGGTTGGTTTAGATATCACTTTACTTGTCACGATCGACTGGTCTTGTCATTTTACTGGTTTGAGTGGATCATAGGG